AAGTGTGACTGTTTTGGAGAAATGTCACAGAATGTCAATTTTTCGTAAAAAAGTACCACAACGTCACTTTTTTTTTTTAAAGAAAAGTGACAGAATGTCACCCTCTCCATGTGCAAACACATTGCATGCATCCATGTAATTGATTCAAAGTTATAATTTTCATATGTATTCTCAGATAATAGGACATGAATTGGTATGTTTAAACTTTCAAAAAAGTACACGTATACATCCGATTAATTGTTCCAATGATAAAGGGTGACTGTTCTTGTAGAAAGGTAACGAATGTCACTTTTTCGTTGAAAAAGTGGCACAATGTCACTTTTTAGATAAAGGTGACAGAATATCACTCTTCATGATCAAACATCTTGCAAGCATCCATGTAGTCGATTCAAAGTTTCATATGTATTACCAAAAAACAAGGTACGAATTGGTATATTCAAACTTTCAAAAAAGCAAATGTATGCATCCGATTAATTGCTCCAATGATAAATGGTGACTGTTTTGGAGAAAGGTCACAGAATTGCACTTTCTCACCTTCTCCTATGAGCAAACACATTGCAAGCATCAATGCAATTGGTTCAAAATTTTCTTTCTCATGTGTATTATAAAAAAATATAGCTTGAATATATACGTTCAAATTTCCAAAAACTCACACATGCATATCTAACTAATTGCTCAAGAGAGATGCTGTGACTTTTTTTGAGAAAAGTGACAGAATGCCACTTTCTCACCTTCTTCTTTGAGCAAACACATTGCAAGTATCAATACAATTGGTTTAAAGTTTTCTTTCTAATGTGTATTACTAGAAAATAGAGCTTGAATATGTACGTTCAAATTTTCAAAAACTCACACATGCATACCTAGTTAATTGCTCAAAAGAGATGTTGTGACTTTTTTTTTAGAAAGGTGACAGAACTCCACTTTCTTACCATCTCCTTTGAGCAAACACATTGCAAGCATCAATGCAATTGGTTTAAGTTTTCTTTCTCAAGTGTATTACCAGAAAATAGGGCTTGAATATGTACGTTCAAATTTCCAAAAACTCACACGTGCATACCTAGCTAATTGTTTAAAAGAAATGCTGTGACTTTTTTTTTTAAAAAAAGTGATAGAATGCCACTTTTTTCACATTATCTTTTTGTCAAACACCTTGCAAGTATCAATGTAATTGATTCAAAACTAATTTTTCATACACAATCCACTCAACTTCAACAATTTTATTTTCATACATGTTTCAATCTAATTAATAAAACTGTCAAAAAGAAACTTCATAAATACTAATTCAAACAAAAATGAGATAGATAATGAGCTACAATCATGGAATCCAAAACAAAGAAATACCTGTAATTTTGTTTGTGTTTTTGTGGAAGATCTCCTCGACTTTTTTTTCCAGATTTTTCAATATTTTTGTGGATGGTTTCCTCGATTTGAAGAATGAACAAACTTTGTTTATATATTTGTGGAAGATTTCCTCTTTTTCCTTTCAATTTTCCTTTGATTTTCGCATATTGAAGAATGATTTATGAGGATTGTCGTGAGTTTAGGTTTTGAACGTATATTTTACGTTCAAGTTAAGTAATTACCATTTAATCCAAGTTTATAATTTTTTTCAAAACAACCAAAAAATATAGGGTACTTTTGTAAGTACCCCTTTATTTTATCTAATTGGGCCTGTATTATTAATGGGCTAGCCCATAGCCCTTTACCTTGAGGTTGTTGTTTTGTTCTATAAGGGTTGTATTGAAAGCTTTGGAGAAATGATGAATTGAATAATTGAATCATGGCCTGTTGCCCGTCTTCTTCCCTCTTCCTCTTCCCTTCTTCTTCTTAACAGTCAAGATACTATAATGCCTCTTCTCTTACTTTTCTAAATTTGCTTCTCTTCTTTTCTCTGAATCTGCATCTCTGTTGTTGTTGTTCTTCTTTCAATCTGAATTTTTTATTTTTTATTTTTCTCTAAATTTGTCCCTCCTTCCTTTATTCACATTTCCCTGCATTACAATTTTCTTTACTGCTTATATTTTGTCGTCATTGTAATTCAATTCAATCAATCAAGTTTTACAGCTTGGGTTATTAATCCCCATCTGAATTGTATTATTTTGTGTTGAATTGGTGTTAAATTGGGGTCTATATTTTGCTGGTTTTGGCTGGAAACGATCCAACCATAACATTTTGTTTGATATAAATTTTTTCATTATAGATTTTGTATAAAGTGATTGTTTGGAAATTAATTTACCTAGAAAATGTAGGATAAAAAATAATAATAATAATAAAAAGTTTTAAAAAATCTATACCACATAGGGACGTAGTAGCGGTAATCTATTTTTCATGTCATTATTTTTCTACATTCGATCATATCATTTACGGTTTTTATAATTTTAAAAAAATATCGTATACTTTATGATATTAAAATAAGAAATTGGGAAGATCATCTCATAAATTAAATTTTAAGTAAGTCTTAACTCACTAAGAAGTAATTTTTGGACACACCCAAACAAACATAATGAAGAAATCCAATCCAATGTATTTACTATACACAAGGGAGCCAAGAGGTGCTTATGTTAACTCCATTTTCTCTAATACAAATTCTACAGCTAAAAGCATTTCGAGTACTCCAATCTTTGCACACAATCCTTGAGCATCCCACTGCACAAAGTCGCGTGATTTGCAGGAATTTCATCTTCTTCTCTGTGCAATTCACTATTCCCACTTGAATCTTTTACATCTTCAGCAAATTGAACCCTCTTCTTCGTCTTCTCCTTTTCCTTGCTACCTATAAGAAAAATAATCAATGAGAGCTTTAATCGGACCAAATTATTCTTTTGAACTTAATCGCCTAACGTCGATTATTATTTTTATACTTAGCCAACATGTAAACAATTAATCTTCTAAATTATAGTAATTAATTCAAGAAAACGAGAGAAGAAGAAATGGAGTTTTCTTGTACCCGAAGATAAACAAGACTTAAGAACTTGCTTTGTAACTTGCAACACAAAATGGTGACATAGATTGGTATATATATTTGAGAACGTAATGGATTGTTCAGTAATTGTAGGTAGAAAATTTTACTCATGGTCATTGAACTTTGCACTAAGTGTCACTTAAGCTGCTGAAATTTAATTTTTGTGAGTCATCATTGAACTTCATAATATATTTCATATAGACCGTCAGCTCAGTTTGGCGTCTATTTTTTTAAATGAACATTCTACATGTTCGTGAGCTAATTCATCAAATTGTTAAGATTTTCAGTTAATTAATACAGATATGTTGAATATTCAGTTAGAAAGCAGCTGTCAAATTGAGTTGATGGTTTGAATGAAATATTTTGCTTAAGTTCTAAGATGACTCTAAAACAAATTAGAGAAGTACCAAAGCAATACTAAGTACAAATTTTAGTGGCCCTTTGCATATAATATATTTGAGAATATAGTGGGTTGTTAAAAATCTTGAACTTACTACTTTTTTGACTGGAATTTTGTAAAGGGAAAGGGTGGACGAGGAGAAGTGTAAATGAATTTTTTGGGTGATACGAATTGGACATACTTTTTTTAATGTTGATGGTTCTTCTAAGAAGAGAGGAAAGAGATTTGTGGTGGGTGATTGACCAATATTTGAGTCTTTATTGGATGTCCACAAGGTCATATATTTGTGTGCGTCAAGGTGAATATGTTACACTGGATTTTTGTACGAAGAGTCATCAAGTCATCTTTGTTGTATGTTTGAATCAATTCACTAGTTAGGATAAAGATATTTGTTCAGAACCACATGCGCCCTGGACGTATAGCACATCCACGCTAGATAAAAGGAGTGGAAACCCCATTAATATTACAAGCTCGGTTGTCAAACTTACCATATTTTAGATTGTGCAAAAAAACTTAGAAGAAAATAAAGATTTCTTGTTGTAAAGGCACTTATAAATTTATTTTGCTTGAATTTTTAAATAACTCGGATTAGTTTGACATGTCATCATGGGTAGTAGAGCGAGACAAAGTCATGTTTTATTCACATGATTTCAATTCACGTTTTTAACTAGTTTGGTCCACCCAATCCATTTTGAACCCACTAATGGATATTCAAATATTCTTATGTGATATGTGCGTGCAATGCTAGACAAATAAACAATACGGTTTTTTTCTAGATTCATTTATAAATTGCAGGAAATTATAGCAGATAATGCAACATGAAACTGATATTTTTTACCTCATTTTTGTAATTTGATATCTGGTGATATATGGATGGGACAGAATTGATTCAATCTCATCTCATATTTGTTCATGTTAAATCTTCTAGTTCCTCAAAAGTTTTGTATCCATCAAACTTCTCTATATCTTTGTATATAATTAAATGAAAAATGCAAATTAAAAATATTGAGAACTACAAGAAATACGAGTTTTGCTGACCAAGAGATTGGTCACTGAAAGCCCAATATTAGTCGGTAAATCAAATTACTGACCGGAAAGTTTTGGTCGGCCGCTAGTCCCCAAAGGGCGCAGGGAAGGTTTTTAGAGACCAAAATATAATTTAGTCGGGAAAGAGAGAGATTTTTACCGATCAAAAAATTGTAGGTCGGTAATTATAAACTTTTTTCTTGACCATGATTTTGGTCGGTAAATGCCTAAAGTAGTCGGTAATAAACAAGTCATGAGTAGTGGTAGTAAAAATAGACCAACCATTGCAGTTGGCCAGGAATAATATACATTTGCCGACAAAAAAATCAAGTGACATTTACTGACCAAGAGATCAAGTGAAATTGGTCAAAAAAAATTCAACACAATAAAGTTGAACTGCTTTTCCCGACTATGGTTTCACTCGATAATTGTGATTTTTTTAATTTTTTACAATCCTGCCCGACAATCAAAATTATAAAAAAGGTTAAAAGGCCAACTCGAACACAATGTACCGATAAAAGTTCAAATTCAAGAAATATCAGAAATCGCAAAACAATAATCACAATAAAAAGCCTACAGCAAAACAATTACAAGGCAAAATACTATATCATATCTTTACCAATCAATTCCAATTTCAGAATAAGTAACTACGTAAACATGTACAGCCCAGATTTCAAAATAAAAAGTCTAGTCAAATTCCAAAATAAAAGAAGACTAGCATAATCCAAAATAATAGCATATGTAATAATGGAGTATTAACCATCAAAATATAAAACCATGTAAATGGAATAAAAGAGCTTTAAACTAATGATCATCAAGTGACTCGTGATCAGGTGATGATGGTGACGATGACGAATGAGGAGTAGTAGGAACTCTAGGGCTGTCTATTCTAGTTGTGGCACCTGGTATAATCTCTTTTAACAAGGCGAGAATACGCTCATTTTGGCTTTGCAAATTATGCACGACTTGACAAAGCTTGGCATTCTCTCTTTGAGTCGTGTCTGCACGAGATGTAGCACGTGGAATCTTTGAACCCTTACCCAAACCCCTATAGTAGCAAGAAGTAGTTCCAAGCACCTAAGTCGCAATGTCATTAGCAGCGAGCTATACTCCTTGGCTCTCACTCTCCTCTCCCACAACATGTGCCTGTTGTGTTGTTTGTATGTCTACCATCTCTTTCTACATGACAATAGAAAAGTATCAACTTAAATAAGGTAGTAAAATATTTATTCCATTAACTAATAATAAACTTAAAGACTTATGGTATTTGTTTATTACATATTTCTCCTCAGCCACAGGATGTATCCAGCCTTTTGTATCCTTGTAATGTGTGTTCTTCCATAGTTTAATTCTGTCTAGTCGTCCAGTTCCCTTATCCTATTAAAACAAATAAGAATAAAATTGAATTGTAATTGTTTCCTAATAGAGATGAATATATTCCTTCTTACTTACCTCCATAGCCTGACATTGAATATATTATCTAGAACCAGAAAAATGGGTAAATTATTGTCAGGATCTGTTGTCAACTGCCACCTTGGATCTTTTCTGTAATGTCCAATTAATAGAACTAAAATAGTCAATGAACTAAATAAGTTAACCAATGAACATAAATGGAAGTTATACTATATATAAATGCACTTGAAAGTGCTCACTTTCCCAATAGTCACACAAATAATCCTAGTCAACCTGATATCGGATTTCTTTAGGCTTATTAGCTTTCCCATGAGCCATTGGTTGGTCTAGAAACTTCTTGTAATGTATGTGCAGCTCATATCGAAACTCCTTAAAGGAAGTGGCCATTGATTTCTCCATGAACTCTTTAAGAGTTGCATATTTATCATATTGTACATCAAAAATAGCCTATATATAGCAACATACCATGAGTAAAAATACAATAACTAGCACAAAATTCACACAAATATATTGGAATATGAACTTGCTGCTCCAAGCAACCAAAATCAAAATGCCAGCAATCAGATCATTCAAGAAACAAAAAAGGTTAAACAATAATGTTACCTCCACTTTGTCATAAATAGGAGATTTTTCAAATTCAGTCACATCTTTCCAAAAGATCTTTTGGAAAGGCACAAATATTCTCACACTACATCATATTTCAGATACGAATTGACGAGCATTAGGACCAATTGGTCGTCCATCGCTATCTTCATACATGATTTCCAGCTTCCTATGAGTCGCCTTGACTATCTGGGGTGTGCCTAAGCCACGAGTACGACCACGTCGCTCATGCTCAATTGGGGGTGTTGCAAGTGTTAAAACAATATACGTCAATAAAAAAAAAGTTGAAGTAAGAATTAAATAACAATTATAGAACTACATGTCTCCATTGGCAAAGTGACTGGTGTAGACTAGACGGTAGGTGAAGGTTGCGTGCTAGTTTGAGTGAACGCCTGCGTGATAAGACCATTCAGAGGTGTTGGGGTGGTGGCTTCCTCTTTGGTGGCATTGGAATAACCTGTGTTGTTGACAGTAAAAAAATAAAAAAAATCAAGACGCATAAAATTAGATGTGAGCACATTGTAGCAACATGCATTTGTGTCAAACAAATAAATTGTTGCTGAAAGAATTACTATTCAGCAACTACTTGCCACAACATTTCTAGGTTAATTTCTAGTCTGTAAAAGGTTGTGTCAAAATCAACAACTACATTTCTCATCTATAACATATGATCATTGTTCTGCTAGTCTGTCTTTATTCTAGTACCGAGCCTAGGCATAAAAAGCGATAAAAGTTGTAATAAGGGGATGATGACAACTTCATTCATAAAATGAATGTACTCAAATTTTGAATCATATTTTATTAGCAGAGATTGCATAAGCCTCAGAAATATATAGTTTCAATATCAAGTTATGAAGATTGACAGAGGAAAGAATAATAAATAACAAGATTTTTCAGTAAATTTCGATAAAGAAAGATAAGAAGACGTTGCAGTAAATTTTTGAATAAGCCCTCATTATTTCTTAGATGAACATGGAAATTAACAAAACAGTAATTATTTCTTATAAAATGTGATTCTTTTGTTTTTCTAGATAGGGATCGGAGATGAAAACATTTTAGATAAATCTTGATGTGATTCTCTTGTTTTTCAAAGAATCACCTATGGTATTGGAGGAATGACCAAGTAAACAATATCTTTTATGTTCCTACAAAAAGTCTAAGAATCCATTCTTACGTCTGAAAAATTCAAAATATATGGTACAAAATTATTTCCTTCTATTACATAAAGCAGTAACAACAAGCCCGCAATTAAGACATGTTTCCTATCCCCCTATCTAAATAAGTCTCCCCTTCCCCTCTGATTAAACCAGAGCATCTAAAACAGGTCCTCAATTTAATGCAATTTGTAGTCTAGAAAATCCTCCTAACCTTAAGTCACATACAACATTACTTGTCACTCCCATTTGATGTTGAGAAGTAGCTATTAACATATAAAAACCTATATGTAGGATTTTTTGATTCATGGCTACAATGTGCTCAAATTGAGTCTATGTCTCATGATTTTGGCAGAGCATCTATGAAAAGGAAAAACACAAAGGAATCTCAAAAATGATTTTTAACCAATGATGAGCACTGTCCACAGAGAACAACTCAAAAAGAAAAAGATAATACAAATTAACCAAACTAATGGAAAAGCCATACAAAGAAACTTACACCAAATATTGATTTTTAAGATAAGAAGCACCAATACCACCTGAAACAAAAATTAGCACAAATAAGTTTCATGAAATACAAAATGAATAAGGAAAGTGACAAATCAAAAATCTATACAGTGAGGGGAAATTCAGGAACTGGGTGGTGGACGTTAAAATATATGCAGTAATAAAATTGAGAAAATTGAAAATCCTACAAAATAAATAAATCAATCAAACCGTTCCTTTTTCTACCAAGTAAAGCAAATATATAATACAAAATTTAAAAAAAATCCAGAGATGAGTGTGGGGTAAAGATAATGAAAGCACAAAAAGAAGAAAATGGAAAAACTGAAAACTTACTTTAAGATTGAAAATGGAGAAAGAAGGACAGTACTTGGAAATGGAGAGAAAACTCTACACATGAAAATGGATAGAAATGCACCGAATAACTTCAAGGCACTAAGAGAAATGGAAAGGGCGGCAAAAGGAAATTGGAAATGGAGAAGACAACGTAAATCTCTGACTTATGTAGTTTGGGTAAATCCAATTAATTGTGGGCCATATATCCCGCCACAATTTTTGGCCCAGTATAAGAAATTTACCGACTACGTCTCCTCATGGTGTCCTTCTCCTTGAAGAACGTCTAGCTCTTCACGATCTGGTATAAGCTCCGTTCATATATTCAGTACTTTTGCTCCCTTCAACACATTCCTCTACTCAACTTGGTAACCTTCTCCGATCCGTTCTTAGGTCTTTGAACAGGAAATTAATCAGAGAAAGAAAGGCCATGCTTTCAATCTTTGCGGAACACTTTGTGAAGAAAGGTATCTTCGTAGCACCTAAGAGTTATTCCTTAGAAACAGAAGAGAAAGGTAATATAATTAAGCACAAGGGTCCTGTTAATTATTTAGTCGGTAAATATTGTAGCGCCATGACCCGCTAAAAAATAAATCTTATTTTGGCCGATTTTTAATTTTGGTTGGCAAATATGTCTTATTTTCACCTACCAAATACTGTTTTAGCAACTAAATATACGTTAGTGGGAAAACATTTGATAGGCAAAAAACTATTATTATTGACTAATTTTATTGGGTAGGTAAATTATTGGTCAGTAAAGATATTGCCGACCAAGTATTTCTATTGGTCGTTATAAGAGAGGCAAAAGACTATTATTATTGACTAATTTTATTGGGTAGGTAAATTATTGGTGAGTAAAGATATTGCCGACCAAGTATTTCTATTGGTCGTTATAAGAGAGTTTTCACCAACTAGAATTTGGTGGTCGGCAAAAGTTGGTCGGGAAAGCTATAATTTCTTGTAGTCGAGCTTCCTACTAGAAGACTTTTTGTTAGATTCTCCCAACATTTTTTTTAAATTTAAAAAATTGCCCTCTTTCAAATTCAATTTTGTATAAAATATAGAGGGTGTTTGGTAGGAATTTTTATGTGAAAATGCATTTTTGAATAGTAAATTGATAGGAAATGTGTGGTTGAAAAATAAGAAAAAGCTTTTGATTTACGAATAATATTATTTTAATAAAGAATGTGTGGTTAAAAAGAAGAGAAAGAAAAATGCATTTTGATAAAAATGGGTGCCAAACAGGGCCATAATCAATTCTTTTAGAATAAACAAAAATATTTACTAAAATATGTAAGCTTCTTGTAATTATAGGCAAGATTTAGACTTTAAACATATGGACGAGGGTATCAAACTCCCTTAAATTTAATTATAATTATAAAAAATTCTTCACTAATTAAAGTGAGTCAAATTTGCATACAAGAAAAAAAATATAGTTTGCTATATTAGAAGTCTAAAATCTAAACTGCGTGAGGATAATGCCTCTAACCAAATTCATACGGCCCAAATTCAGACAAAAGTCAAAACCTGCATTTTTAACACTTTTTTAATTACGACTTTTATTATGAATAGTTGAAAATTAGAAACATTAATTTTATTTTATCTAGAACAATCAATTCACGAATTTCATATCTCGTCTCCTAATGTTAAACTTTATACCTTCTGTCATTTTACCAATTTACCAATTTTTTTCTTTTATTTTTGCTATCTTTATAAATTTTAGAAGGTTAACATCATTTTTCTCAAGAAATACAATGCATGCTAATAGGTTAACCAGTTGCGTTACAATCCATTGTTGCCAATCCAAGTCATGAGCCGTGGGGAAAAAAAGTAATGCTTCTCCCTTACTTGCTTATGTAATTTTAACTTTGCTTCTTCTTTTTTTTCGTCCCTAGGATACAAGGCATGCACGTTGAGTGTATGTTGGCGACCTTTCACCATTGGCTAATAAGCAGATATGTACTGATTCTCCTCATTTACCCTGAACTTCTTTATTTCTACATTTGCATTTAGGTTTAACAGATTTTTCTATGTTTTGTTTGTGAGTTCCTCTTAATAATTTATCATATCTTGTAGCCTATCTCAGTTTTATTATGTTGAAGACCATTTCACTTTTATTGGCTATTTTTGTGAAATAATGGTGACTAAAGTATGATGACTTCAAACAATATAGACTTTATACTAATTTTGTTCCTCTTTTGTATTGATTTGTGTTTTACCTGGCATTGGTTTACATTTAAATGCTCTAGCAACAACTGCAAAGGACTACAAATTTGTCAAGCATAAAGCTTTTGGTTCTTCAAGACTATCAATTAGTCCAAGACCAAATGCCAATTTTCAACCTCCAAGCTCAAGAAGTGTTAAACTATACTTTAGCTATTAACTTAGAAAAAGAAATCTATGCCATTGAAAACAGTTCTTATGGACAATGCTTCCCCGACATTTGGATTTATGGTCAATGAAGAGATCAATCAGAATGTTCCAAAGAAGAGGAGGCATGTCTTCTTTATTGTAGAATTAATTTTCATCTAGATCTGACCTTTTTCAGACATATAACATGAATTAAATTCTTGGACATAGGTTGGAACAATCAGGATATGGTGAACCCTGTAATTGATGTAACTGCAACAAATCAAAACGCTTGAAACTGTAAGTTCTTTATTTTATTTCTCGCGATGGCATAAATGTACACAGTATGAGCCCTATTCAATTATGGTTGGACTACTTCCTTGTATTTTGCCCAAGACTTCCCGTGGAGGTAAAGCTACCATACCTTCTAGGCCTCATAAAATAGTGATTGAACTCTTGTGAACTCCATGTCTTGTTATTTCCTTGTTGTTTAATCTGAAGAAGTCTACTTGTTGTTTGGTGTTATTATAGTCATTTTGGCGAATTCAAATGGCTATATGTCAAATTTTGGTTGCCTACTGCGTTTAGTTCTACTGTTAGACTCATGAAATGATTTATTAAATGTGAAGTTCTTGATATGCATGAACTTTGATGGTTAGATTTTGACAAAGATTCTCTCTTACAAAACTGTTTCTGTCATGTTTTTTCCCCCCTATCATTCAAGAGTTGTTTTGTTGTCAACAAATTTGGTTAGGTTCGATGCCCTCCATTGGGCACTTCTCGTTATTCATAAAAACCTAGAATCAACGTCGAAAACTGCATTATGTGGTGGAAACCATTTTGTAGCTTTTGACTATGCTTTAGGGTTTAAATAAAAGTTTCCTAATGTAGTTACTGTGGATGCTTCCCTGCTGGTGTCTACTATGTGGAGCCATGTGCGTATAAAGATTGCTTCAACAAGCATGTCCATGAGAACACTATCCTTGCAACTCGCAAACATATTGAATCCAAAAATCCTCTTGCTTTTGCTCCAAAAGTGACTAGGAGCTCGAATTATCTATCTGAAGCTAGGATTAGCCTATGAATTCTAGACTCGTGTTCTGCTTACCTGGTGCTTAAGCTCATTTAAATATTCCCTTTATTATTCATTGCAAGATAAGTCCAGCAAAACTTCTATTTCAGCTCAACATAAGAGGGGATGCAATTGCGAAAAATCTAGTTGCCTGAAGAAATATTGTGAATGCTATCAAGTTTCTTTTCATCTTTTTAAGTTTGCAAGCTTTTCTTTAGCCTGTAAGATAAAATATTATCTTTCTATTGAAGAGTGGTGTTGGATGCTCAATGATTGTGGTTTTACGAGTCTCGGTATTATGATTTGCAATTTATTTTCCTTTCTGGGTTGGGCTTTTTTTTTTTTTTTTAACTGGCACGGGAGCTAAAGTTTAAAATAAGAATCCGATGTTGGGATGCTTTGTTATATCTCTCAGCTTCCTGGCTTCCGTCAAATTGTCAACCGAAGATATCTCTTCATCATTAATTGTACACATCTAATATATTTGCATTACTTATTAACCTCAAGATGATTTTTGGAAGTTTATTTCATTTAATTGTCTTTGATGTTCGAATTGTGAACATGAATGCAAGTGACAAATTCAGTGAAATTTTATGATTAGCCGATTTTTTAATACATTTTCTGATTACTCATATTAGATACTAATGATTCCCATGCAATTCATACATTTTTCAAGCAAAAATTAAATTTTCTTCTTACTAACACAGTAGATAGTTGTCCAAAATGCATTTGAGTAACGATGAATGCAAGACGAAATAATGTAAAAAGGGGAGACACCAAGGAGGGTAATGATTGAGCAGATAAGACCTATGATAGTAGAAGTTGAGATACTTAGTTAGAACATCTTCACAAGTTCCTTAGGTAGAGTTTTCTTGGCGGGCAACAATGTTATTATGGAATGCTCATTTTGGTGGTTCCACATAGGAACATCTTGCAGCCTTCCTAATCCTACCTCTTCTTTCCTAGGAGCTTTGGTTGGTCAGAAATTCTGCACGGTTTAAGGATGAGGTCGTAAGCTTGCACAGAGTTGTGCTAAAGTAAAATGTTGGCTACAAGAATTAAACGGTATGCTAAAACCAAAGAAATTGTTTCTCTCTCTGTTACTTATTCACAAAAGCTACACATCCCTGTGTTGCCAATACGAGTCAAAGCTCCATTTCTTTTTAGATGGTTCCCACCGCAATATGGTTTTTATAAAATAAATATTGATGGTGCTGGCGCTGGAAATCCAGGCCCGACTAGTTGAGGTGATTTGCTTCGAGATTGGTGGGGGAAGGTTATTTTTGGGTTCTATCACTCTCTTGGTGTTGGTACTAATACTTCAGCGGAGGTATCGGCTCTTAAGATAGGCCTTCAAATATGCTATGTCACTAGCATAGAGAGGATTGCTATAGAAACGAATTCAATTGTGTTGGTTCATTGGTTTCATCATCATGTCACCGTACCTTTGGCTATTAGGATTATTTTGGAGGATATATTAAAGCTTGCTCTGGTTATATCTATTGATATATCACATATTTATCGCAAAGCAAATCAGGTGGCTAATTCTATAGCGCATCTTGGATCTCAAGGTCATTTAAATTTTTTAGAATCAATCTCTAGTTTTCCAGTTTCTGCAATCGATTGCATTTGCTTAGATAAATGTAATTTGCCCTCTTTTCGCTTTTCGTAATTGATCGTACCCACGGTTTTCCTCCACCATAAGTGAGGATTTACCGGTAAAAACGTAGGTATTTTGCCACAAAAAAAAAAAAAAAGAAAAGCATATGAATTAATAATTGTTCTTTGAATTTGTAAGTCTAACACCATTAGTTAAATGTTGGCAAATTGCAGTCTTTTTATTCTTGTTGTCATAGGTATGCTAAAATGTCCCTCAAGATAATTAACTGAATTGGGTTCGGTTCTTGGTTCCTAAACTAAAATTGTGGGTACTTGAGTGAAACTGGTTTTTATATAATTTTTTATTTACAATTTATATGCTAGATAAAAAAATATACTTAGGCAGTATTTAGTCGAAAACTCTAAACTCCAACATTAAAAATAAGATTGGCTCTTACTTTTTTACATCTCTCCTCACATAAGATTGTTGCATTTAACAGGTTATTACATGTTAATGTTTATAATTTGTGATTTTTACAAATAAAAAATTTCAAGCAGATTTTGGTGTAAGTTGACAAATCAAAACGTTCATTCTTTACAATTCAAGCTTTTTTACTTTCTTGTATTGTTTATAAACTTAAGTGAATTTTTTCCATAATGCACAACAATTGAAATTGATATATTCATTGCATGCATTGTATTGTACCTCTTTTATTATCTTGAGGTTGTGATTCTCTTTTCAAATATAATTTTTTATTCAAACAGTGCGAGTTCAATATGTGGACCGTAATTTTTTGATATTATATAGTTATGTATCTAAGTACTATTTTTTATGTCAGCTAGTTTTAATAGTAGAAAAATTTAAGCATTGTTCATAATTAAATTAGATGCTCTAGAGTACCTCGTTTATGGATCGAATCTCATTACGAAAAATATGTTTTTCTCAAATTATAATTTAAGTTTTGACTTTTTTTTTATTTTCTCCTATTTTTGTGGTTTTTACTATCCAATATTTTACTACATGAAGATTTTTTAGCTGAATTTTCTCCATTGCACAAATTTGAGTAGCAGTGTCTGAGGTATATATACAAAGGGTTTATGTGAAATATTTATTAAATAAATGTATATAAAATTATTATGGGTAGAACCGAAACCGAACTAGAACCGACGATTCGAATTTGAATTTGGTTCTAGTATTTACGAAGACGCAAATGGTTCCATTTACAAAATACCCGAAGTACATGGGTGGTTCTGGGTGTTGAAATATCCAGACCGACCCACCCGACACTAGACCTAACTAGAGATGGGATTTTCAACGTAATATTAAATTTACCTATTTAATTTGTTTACTAGATAAATGGGATACAGACTCATTAAAGCTGTATAAGTTTGCACATAATATGTAGATAGATAGACAGAAAGATGAAAAGAAATCTGTTAACAGCTTCATAAATCAATTTTGAAGTTCAACAACCAGAAACTTGGAAGCGAGCGAATTTTTAATTGCTTGATAAAATTCCCATAGTAAGAACCATGAAGGGTTGACTTATACACACACACATAACAGTGTGTTTCGCCACCAATTTGTCCTAGAGACCATGTAAACCGTGTTGTTTGGTATGTTATCATTTTATTTTATTTTTACATTATTTGCATACTCTATTTATGGCATATTAATTGGTCTATATAGGGCTCACATGATACCTTATTAATAGTAAATGAAACATCTTACATATCTTCAGCTATGTTTCAATCTCATGCTGAAATTTAAATTTTCTTGTTCAATTATCATGTAAATTCTATTGTCAAACAAGAACTTTACGGTTTGTAAATATGAGAAAATGACACTTTTTTCAAAGTACACAACATGCTTTCCTTAAATTCGTCACATAATCTGCTGAATTGTCACAGGGTAGTCACATCACGTGTTCCCCAACAACATTATCCACCCATCATAAATTAGTACATTCCTTCTTTGATCGCGTCAGGGAGCCAGTCCAGTGTAGCAGCAAGAATGCGAGATGTTGTGCGAGAGAAGAACTCCATTCCTGGCAAGTAGGTAACTTCTCCTTCACTAGCAATCCGAATGGGGTAGCGGAGCAAGTGACCAGGTAGATCCCGTTCAAGATTTTCATCCGCATAGAGATCCCAATTTTTGTCAGCGATTTGGTTTACACTTTTGATACATGCCACACTTTCGGGGCATAGGAAAGTATTATCGAGCTTGCCAAGGTGTTCATACCATAGTGCAATACGAAAACCGTGGACCTGACCCCTAGCCGGTTCCCTGATTGCCAAATGATGTGGTTGATATGCTCCAATGGCTATCTCGGAATCCCTAGCACCGTCCATGGATCTTTGGTTGATATTGGCAGATCCAATTATTATGTAATCGTCATCAACTGCCAAAAAATAAAAATAAATAAAAATGAAGGAATATCAACGTATGGCCTTCTTTTCATAGCAATTCATCTCTAGAATAATTCACTCATGTCTAAGTACACTTCACGCTCTTAGGATAGCAAACACAAGCTACTACCTTGACAACGGAAACCAGTATCTAGTGGTGCCATCATAAATATAGGTAAATATTAATGTGCTTACATGTAGTAGTTATTGTAAGACAAGGAAAATATACAAGCCTAATAATGCCTAACAATGATTTGTGCCTTAAGCGATGGAAAAACTTTTGCTAGAGACATATTGGATAGCTTTGTAATTTAGTGGGCATAGCTTTCAATAATTTAAAGATTTAAATAATTCTTAGTTTTAGAAGCCAATCTCATTAAGCTCAAAATCCAGTACATACCTATCATCATCTTGGAATGAACGTAGATCATGAAGCGGCGAGCCTCCTGAGCTTTTAGATAATCTGAATCAGGTTTTGGTTGTTCTGAAGGTTCATATTCACCACTCTTCTTCACCTCCCGATTTCCAAGGCAGAAGAATGTCAGGTAATTTCTAGGGTCCTCCTCAATGCCCTTAGCTTGAAGAGCCTGAATCATGTCCTTATACATCATCTCCATTGTCATCCTCTGGAAACCTAATATAACCTTAGCTACTTCAGGAATCCCTTCGGGCCACATTGGCACCACGATATACACGGTGAATCTTTCCCCAGCCTTAATCTTACTCACAATCTTCAAGGAAAGTTCCTTTGGAATAAGATGCAGAGCTCCAATGTCCTCAACCTTTATATCTTTATAATCCCAGTCAAAACTTGCTCCCAGAAAAAACTGATTTTCGATATAAATAAATTTTTTTGCTCGACGTATCGCATGAATATATGCATCTTGGATGCTTCGGTCAATTATATTGCCATTCCAACTGACAAGACCTTTCCTTTTTGCCTCCTTGGGAGTATCCGGGAATCCAGAGGCAGCCCCACTATCAATAGATCTGAATAACTGAACATTCCATGTTTCATGGTTATTTGGATACATCACTGGAGATGGAACAATATCATCAAGCTCTCTCAAGTTACGTAATGCATTCTCCTCACCTTGTTTCCTCCATCTCTGCTCAAAATTAAACAGAACATCCCAGGCAATTGGTCCTTCCAGTCGGGAATGAATGTCGTGCCAAGGCTCCCTCGGCCCACCTTTTGTGATGGATGCACCAGTGAAATTAGGCTGATGAAAATCACCACGGTGTGCAGTATCCAATGTCCTGAAAAGTGAATGGGATGGAGTATCATATCTTCCATCGCAAAGATCAACGCCTCCCACAAAACTCAAAATCCTCCTCTTCTTCGATCCAGCTTCCGGCACAGCACTGTCCACCACTACAATCTTCTGGTGATGAGTGAACATGGCAGAAAATTTTAAGCTTTGACCTTTATATGGATTGCGAGGGCATAAGACACAATGCACACCAGTACCTTCAAAATAGCGGTTGGTCTCTTTACAATGGGTAGCCATTATGCCCTCGTTCTTCAGGCAATCAATAGAGGTTATGTCATCCCAAACAAGCATAAGAACCGTAACACCTTCATTTGCTTTCTTCTTGAGTATCTCACCAAGAGTAACGTCACCTCCTGGCTTTGGCCTCCTAGAATCCCTTATTAAGGTAATTTCGGTATATACAGACCAGCCTGCGATGTAAATTAGGTGCTCAGCATTAGTGATTGCATCGAAAACATCTTCCCAGCATCTGTGAGGCTCGTAGTTTTGTCCTTCAGAAAGGGGGATTTGGAGAACAAAATTGTCTGGTACATGAGAATCTTGGTACAAAGAAACCTGACATCCAGATCTCTGAGGAAAGTAAGTATAGGGAACCCCAGAATACTCGGAATTAATTCCACAATCCCAGTTATTATCTCGAGAAATATCCAAAAACCATAGCTTTACATGGATCTTAGAACCTTCACGTATAGGATTCTTGTCTTCATCCAATATCTCAACCCACCTATCCACTTCTTCCCCTTCCAAGAGCTCACGAACAGGTAGATAAGCTCTTCCGATTAAAGTTGCACCAATAGGATTATCTTCTTTAACATTAAATATCACATTTGAAGCCATATGAGCACAGTAAATAAGAAAAGACTCATTCCACCCGGGGTTATTAGGTTCATTTTCAATCATTCTAGTTTTCGCAACCGTTGCCTTTTCTAAATCAATAGTTGCATAAATTTTAGGACCAAAACCAAACCTCTTTGCAATGTTCTCGATCATCTACAAAAATATTCCACCAGTGAGAAGTATCACCAGAGGTAAATAAAATACTTCAATACACAAATCAGGAATATAGCAAATGAGTCTTTGAACAATTTTCTGACCATAGAATACATAATCACATGTAAAAATTTGTTTAACTTATAACCTTATTCAAAATGATCCTAAAATTATATATGATAACTGACAGGATAAATTGGGTCCAACAAATCGATGCATTTATAAAATCCGGAGCAAATGTTTTGTACAATTCAATTCAATTAATATGAATTCCTTAGTATCCAACATAAAATGCTCTGCTTTTATTAAATATAGCTAGTAGTTCAATATTTCTACTAGATCTCACCAGCTGCACAAAAATTAGGCATTTAAACTTCAATCGCAGGAATAAATATCGATCAATAGCTCAAATATCAGACCAACCCACCAAAAATAAAATAAAATTAATAATAATAATAATAATAATAGTGAAATTCGTCGTGTCGGGAACTGCCCGAAGCAAATTTATGCCATGAAATTCCTACCTTGCGAAAAACATTTCCACCTTCTTCGTTGAGCTGCCTGTCTACTTCAGAGATCGAGACATGGAGAGTCCCATGAAGCAATTGTTGGGTCATCTTTCACCTGCAACATCATAAAAAACATCAAACCCCACATCACCCATAAAAATGGAGCACAAAACAACCAAAAAAAGAAAAAAGAAAAGAAAAGAAAATCAATTGAAAAACATTTGTATTAACGAATGCATAAATTCGAAGCACCGAGTAGAAGAGTAAGGGATCTAAGAAGCTCACAGAAAGAAACTCGGATGGACTGATTTTGATCCGATCTTTCTGAAATTGATTGAATAAGAATTGAGTGCACTGCGTGTCTGTTTTGTGTATATGAGACTTCTTCCTTGAGAAAGAAAAGACCACCGCCTTCTTTTCGCACCCCATCTACTTCACTGATAGTGACATTCAGTTGGGTCATTTTCACCTGTAACATCATAAAAAAAACATCAAACCTCCATCATATTACACAAACCATGAAAAAACTCAAGCAAAAAGCATCACTGTGTACCATCCAAAGTCAAAACTAGAACAAAAAAAAATAAAAAAAATGAAAATCAATTGAAAAACATTTGTATAAACGAATGCATAAATTCAAAGCTCCGAGTAGAAAAGTAAGGGATCGAAGAAGCTTACAGAAAGAAATTTTGTTGAACTGATTTTGATCCAATCTTTGCTGAAACTTATTGAAGAAAAAGTAAGCTTTACAAACAAAGAACCGAACTATGTATGTATGTATGTGTGTGTAAATACATATACATAGAAACTGTCTCATGAGCACAGTGATTGGGTTATCCTTTGGTGACGTGGCAAATTAACTACCGATAAATTTATCTCATGTTTTTGCCCAATTTCCCAAAAATTGGAACCCCAAGAGCAAAAATTGTCAAGGCTGAAAAAGTCAAAAAGGGTGGCTGTTGAACAAAATGGGAGTGTTTCCGGAAATTTGCAACAGTCATACGTGGGACCCCTATGTTGACAGAAAGAATGCTTTTGTTTGTTCGCATGAAAATGGGAAACAATCATCAGCATGGGAAACAAACGAGTAGCTAAAAAGGAATGTAGTAGTTAGCTGTATCAGTTATATGGGGCCCACCATTAACTAACAAATATATAATAAAAAATTTTGTGCACATGGGAAATAAAGACAAAAATATACTCTATTCGTCCTATTTATATAGGTTAATTTTATTTTTTACACAAATTAAGAAATCTTATTTCATGTTATTGAAAGTAATTTTTGTTAAAAAAATTTCCTAATCTACCATTATTTATATTTGTACAATTTCAAAATTAATGGGAAAATTTTGATTATAACTAGACAAATTAAATAGGAATATATTAGTAAAAGAATAAAATAAAACATTTTTAATAAAGAAATAATATTATATAATTGAATATTATATAAAATAGTGGTATCATTAAATATGAGAAAAGGACACTTTTTTTTGAAAGTACGCAGATCAATCATGCTTTCCTTAAATTGGTCACACGATCTTTTGAATTATCTTGGCAGAATAGTCCATGACATGTCCCCCACCAACACAATCTACTAATCATATGTACAATTTAGCCGCTATTTGTCATTCATTTTAACGCATTATTTTTTTTATAATATTCATTTTTAATCATATATTCTTCATTAAAATAATATTACACATAAATAAATAAATAAATAATTCCTTTTTTAATCACATATTTCAACATCAATCACTATTCCATATATCATTCTTTAACATTAAAGGAACAAAAAGAGGCCCTTAATTTGTTAATATTGATTGATAATTTACACTTGACAACATTATATTTATTTATTTTAAAAATTATTTTAAATCAATTGATCGAATTTTGACAATGACAACATTGTCAAGTATAATTGTACAAATAGCATAATTGCGTAATCCACCCATCATGTCATCTCCTCCTCCAAGATTTGAGGTAAATTTATAGCATTTTGTACTAAATTTTGCATTGAACTTAAAATCAGTTTCCAACTCATTACACCAAAAGTTGCAACAAATGAACAATATTTAATAAATTTCTTCATTTTTAATAATTTATTATTTAAAAAACTATTTATTTATTTATATTATAACTACCTAATAAATAGTTACATTAAATTAACAAAATGTTGAACTTGATAACATCATATTTATTTATTTATTTTAAAAATTATTTTTAAATCTGATATTAATGAAGTTAACTAGTGTTATAATTTAATTTTTGAAATTCACATGTTCATTCCACAAATAATCAATTAATGCATTTCGAAGTGCAATTTGGGCCTATTTATCCTTGATTTGTCGATGATGAGCAAGAAAATTCTTGAAAGCGATCATGTTTATTACATTTTAAAACTTCTTGAGTACTTTATTTTAATTTATTCCTTAATTATTATCAATTACATGATTAAAACTCATTACAAATAATAATAATAATAATAATAATAATAATAATAATAATAATAATAATAATAATAATAATAATAATAATAATAATTTGTTATATGACAAAAATATATAACAAAAAAAATATAAATACTCTTAACCAAATTTTGTGCAAAGTGAAAAAGAAGGGCAAAAATATATTTAACCATTTTGGTACAAAATGGTGTAATGGTTTGGAGATGATTTGGCGTAATTTGGTGAATTTTGGGGTAATGAGGATGGGTTAGAGAAGCCATTAGGAGCTAAATGATAATTATTTTAGATCAAAATTTTTTTTTTATTCATATATTTCTTTTACGATCAAAGAAATATATTATACATTATCACCGATAATGACAATAAAAAGGACGGAATACGATCAACCCAATTATCAAAATATTGGAATAGTAATCCATTTTTTCAAACTCACAACTTGAATTATAATTTAAACATGTTCAAATAATCACTTAAGTTATACTCTTCCAATCTTTGATTAAAATGTTGACTTCTCACTACATACTCTCTAATTGACTAAAAGTAATTTCATTTTCAAAAAAAATGGCATGGCTCAAAAACTCGGTGAATCAAGTAACTATCAAAATTTGATCAAATCTACAAGTTTCGTAGTAAACCAACATTTAGGGGCTGGGTGGTCCAACCAAAACGTAAGGACCATAGCACAAACACCCAGCCTATCGTCTATTTTATCCTTCTTCTTCTAATTTTCAGAAATTTAATGCATTTAAATTAAGTTATAATTGAGAAAATAAATACTATTAAATGAACGATGGGAAATTGTGCCCTTGTTTAAAAATCACTTTTTTCTTGCACTCATTTTGAGCTATACATTCTTCAAAAAAAAAAAATAATAATAATAATAAATAAAATAAATAAATAAATAAATAAATAAATAAATAAATATATATATATATATATATATATATAATATTTTTTTCATACTTATTAGCCTAACATTATTTAAAATTTCACTCTTCAAGTAATTACATTTACACTAGCACTGTGAGAGTTATATAGAAGAAAAATAAGAATTTATAACCAAAAAATGATTCTTTAAAATAAAAAAAAATTCATATTACAATCCAGGAAGAAAGAGAGAATATTTCGGTCAAGAAGAGCTTAACAACTCTTTTAACTTTCTTTTAACTTTTAATTTTTAATAATCGGGTAAACCAGGTTACCCGACGAAGCCCCGTATGACTTGTGGGTCAACTCGTAAATCGAGATGACTTGGTTCTATCCATTTTTTTAATTGATGAATCATCTTAAATCTAGACAACCTCCCCTATTTTGACACCACTATATAATATATTATTTAGTCCCTATTTTGTAGAGAGGTTTCGAAAATAAATTTTGCGAAAGTGATTTTTTGGAGAATGTGGGATTAAAAGTAAGAAATTTTTAAATTTGTATATAAAATTATTTTTCTTAGAAAAAATGTGCTTGAAAATGAATTTGAAGCAAAATAAATTTTAAAAAATAGAATCAAAAATTCACTTTTGTATAAAAAAATTGCTTGTAAAAATAATACTATTTAGATAGAATTTAATTATAAAAAATAAATATTACTTATAAGTAAAAATGTACTTACACTTAAAAAATTATTTAAAAGTACAAAATGAACATATATCGTAAAATTTACTTATAGGTAAACATTATTTATAAATTCAAATTTTAATTATATATATAAATATTTCACTTTAAGTTAAAATTTGATGAGCTGAAATGGAAAAAAGTTACTTATAAATAAAATATTACTTGTGCATAGAAAATTTATATAATAACTTATGAATTGAAAACTATACTAAGGGCACATATATAATTTTATTTTTTGAAAAATTTTCAGAATCGTTGAATAATAAACATTTATGTGTTGGATCCTTTTCAAAATCGCAAATAAAATAGTCCAAAACCGAACATCTTGATAACGTTCAAAATCAATACTTTAAAAATTCACAATAGGTTCCCAAAACTCCCCAGCAGTCCTAGGAATCATATTGTGATGAAAAGCTAGGGGCTG